TGATTACAGTGCACCTACTCCAGGGCCTGGCATATACTATGTGCTCAGTAAATGCTAAATGCATTAGTAGTTTTCAAAAATTGTGCATTTTAGAAGTTGTGGGCAGTTGAAAGATAAACGCATTTTTATTTAGTCCAACATACAAAAACTGTACTTAATAAACTAGAGATAGAAATAAAAGTTCACATTTTAATCTTAGGTTACCTAAAACTAATCAGAGTCTTTATATAGAAAAGCAACAAGTTAAATGGTAGAATGACTTGCAATCCCCTAGTCCAGTTCTTGATTGCAAATAATTTACTGTAGTCAAGTTTTAAATTCTCTTCCTTTATGCCTAGACAAAGTCTCCACTAAGGAAACATACTTATCTGGCTGTCTGCCCAACTGAGATGCAGAGCTTATTGGCACATTCCTATCCCTACTGTACAAACGCTTGAGCCCTTTCTATGTGACTTGTACCAAGACTCTGGTTTTGTGAAGAAAGAGCTGGTAGGCAAGTGTGGTGAGTCGAGTCTTATCTCAGGAAAAGTTGTTCTCACAACTCTGCGATGTAGGCAAATGAGATGTTTATAGACCTGTTTGATTATTCATTTTAACCTTAGCACATTTTATACATGAGAAAATTGAGATCCAAAGAAATTAAATGATTTTTCTAAACACAGATAGAAAGGGGTAGAGCTGGTATTCTAATTCTCCACAGGCAACTGACTATAAATTAAGTATTTTTTTGATTATTCCTTACTAATTATGATGAATCAGAAGTATTGCCTTAACCAATACCTTGTCAATGAGGGTGGTGTTAACCTAAGGGACAAAAATTGCTTCTTAGGGACTGAAAAAGCATCTTAGATATTACAAGATGTTTTGTGGCCCTCCAAAGGACCATAGAACTTAAACAGGTATACAGAGTATGCTGTTGTTAGGTGCCGTTGAGTCGATTTTTGACTTATAGTGAGCCCATGTGACAGAGTAGAACTGCCCTATAGGGTTTTCTAGGCTGTGATATCTATGGGAACAGATCGCTGGGTCTTTCTCCTATGGAGCGGCTAGGTGGGTTTGAACCACCAACCTTTCAGTTAGCAGCTGAGAGCTTAACCAGTGCGCACCAGGGCTCCTTATACAGGTGGTATTAAAATTTCACAGGGAGGCAATTATGGGGAAAAAAGTGTCTAAAAAAACTCATTGTTGTTAGTTGTTGTCGGAGTGAATTCCAACTCATGGTGACCCCAAGTGTGCAGAGTAGAACTGCTCCCCAGGGTTTTCAAGGCTGTGACCTTTTGGAAGCAGATTGCCAGGCCTATCTTCCCAGATGCCTCTGGGTGGATTTGAACCACCAACCTTTTGGCTAGTAGTCGAGCACTTAACTATTTGCACCACCCAGTGAATTCGAAAAAGACCCCTTGGGGAATGATACTTAAAAAGAGGTTGAGGAATACTGAAAATCATCTTTCTTTCTCGCTTTCTGTCTTTCTTTCTCTCTGTCTATCTGCCTTTCTTATGAAAATCTGCCTTTTGATGTCTTTAACCCCTATGAAGACTCTCTGGTCCTTAGAAGAATTTTTATATTTGACCAGATTAAGAAAAAAAAAAAAGTAACAATAAGTGATGTGAAGAACAAAGGAAGAGAAAGTCTCCTAGACACAAAAATGGTAGGAAAAAGAAGTGCCGGAAGGGAGATCCTGAGTGAAATACCAATAAAGCAAATGATCCTTTCTTAAGTTCCAGATACCTCAAGTCCATTTCCTATATTGTAGCAATCGTTTTCCCCATCCACCCTCATTTCTTCTCTCTCTCCCTTACTGTTCTCCCAGAAAATCCCTGCATTTCATTATGACACAAGGTATTAAAATTCATGGCTCTGAAGCTCCTAGAAAAGGCTAATGGGCTCATTTATAACCAATCACAGCCTAAACCAAAATGGAAAATAGGAAAAACAGAGATAATAGGTAGTCATGGTGGCATTGTATCTCCAGATCCCATATCTGAAGTTCTCCAGGGTTAGTTGATCCCAGCAGCTCTTCCTTGACTTCTCAGAATGACTCTAGAATGACTTCCATCAATTTTTTTTTTTTTGGTTGTTCAAGATTTTTTAATGTGGGGTTATGTCATTTGCAAATATAAGAATACTAAGAGTGGTAGAGACAGCTAACTGCCCTTGCAAAATAGTGTGCTGGTCCTTCCATAGAATAAGTTATCATCAGGAAACTACAGCTTAGTCAGAAACTACACATCCAAAACTCAACACATCAAGACTGGGCCCTGTGAGCTAGTCTCACTAATGGAAATTAGTTGTTAAAGTAGCAGGTAGACACCGGATTGTGAAGGCTTTGAACTAAAACAAATACTATGAAACCATAATCATTATATCACCTTTGAGGACAGAAAGAGCAGATCATTCTTTCTGGAAATTTTTGCTAGTACTCATGACCTGTGCATCAGGAGAAGCAAATGGTGGTACTCTGCACATAATTGACGGTAGATAGTGGGCTAGTTCCAAAGACAGTCAGATTGAACCTGAACTTGTGGTTGATCAATGGCCTCTGCAGTAGATTGACATAAAATTTTGCTTATTGAGTTCTTCGAATGGGATAGTGACTAACTAATCAAAATGAATCATCTCTCTTGGGATGTACTAATAGAAAATACTCACAGGGAAGGCAGACCACTTAAGCTATGGTTATATCCAAAATAAGGAGCCCTGGTGACACAATGGTTAAGCACGCAGCTGTTAACTGAAAGGTTGGCAGTTCAAACCCACCCCGTAGCTCAGCAGGAGAAAGACCTGCTAATCTGCTTCTGTAAAGATTACAGTCAAGAAAACTATGTCTCATGGGGTCACTATGAGTCAGAATTGACTCGAAGGCACCTAACAACAACAACATATCCAAAATAACACAAAGCTATTGTAACAATTCTTCGTGAAATTTATGGAAGAAGCCAGTTATGGAAATACCAGGATCTAAAGCAAATTTACGACAACAGAGGCAGACAGTAGCCCAGATTACATTGATTTCTTATGCTGAGCCCCCGTTGTCAGTGGTGATCTCAGTGTACCACTTCCATGCAATCTTACAAACAAACACATTCAACCTTTTATGCCATACTAGAAAGTTAGTATTTTATCTTGAAGGTATTGCTCCTACCACCAGGTAATAACCATATTATCAACTTCAGGAAATATGAACAATTTATTTTCAGTCCAGGCTTACTCAACCCCTAGGAAATAGCCTTGAACTCTGTGACATTGAACAGTTTTACATTAAGTAAAAGAGAAAAAAAATGGACTAAAGGAAACTGAAAAATTGTTTCATAACACACATAAAAGTAGTATTATAAAATAGTACATCTTTCGACAGGACATTGATACTTGAGAAATTCTGGGGACAAGCTTGGCAAGGTTTGGGTCTTTGGTGTTGCAACAATGAATCCTGCTGTTGGCCAGAAAGTGGCAGTAGAGATAGATACTGTTAAGATACTGCCAATATATGAGATAAAACGCAAATGGAAGTGTCGTGCATTGCAAGACACGAGTAGGTTTATTTATCAAGCAAGTATCTTATATCAACTTGGCAGTCAAGATTTCACTGTCTGTTTTTCACAAGATGTTAATTTCGTATTTTATGACAAAAGGTTCTGTAGTCAATTATCCTCGGAAAATGTTAGTTTAAACCCACTTGTTTAGGGTTATAAATGGCAGGATTTTTTTAGAATTTGCAGTATGAGTGTAAGAAAGCATTTTAAGTATACGGCATTATTTCCCTAACTTATTTGGCCTTGTAATTTTATTTGACAGAACATCTTAGAATCACCAGTTTACTAGTTTCCATGCTCTAGCATTGACCAAAGAACTCATTTTTAATCAAATGTTTCAAAAATTTCTAAGAAAATTTAGCAAAACCAATTATTTAGCAATTCTTATAATTAGGTGGAAATTCTTTATTGTTATTGTTGGTTGCCATTGAGTTGATTCCAACTCATTGCCACCCTGTGTGCAGAGAAGAACGATGCTCCATAGTGTTTTCAAGGCTGTGACCTTTTGGAAACAGATCTCCAGGACTAATTGTGAAAATTATTGCTCAAAAGAAATTCCGTGTCTGAATTTATCATGGAAACCTCAGCCAGAATGAAGAAAAGAACCGTATTTACCAGAAGAAGCTGCACTCTCCTCTCCATGGGAATTAAGGGAGCTCCAAAGGACATGGACTCCCCAGGTCGTCTGGTCATTCAAAGAAAAGGCCTGCTCATCCCAACAAACAAAGTTAGTTATTTTATGGTATAGCTACTTTGAAAATGTATCTTCACTGCTTTTATATCCAAACAACTAAGCTAATTGTCTTGGTCTGGGTTCTCTAGAGAAGCAAAACCAGTAAAGGGTATAAATATATAGAGAGAGATTCATATTAAGGAGGAGCCCTAGTGGTGCAGTGGTTAAGCATACGGCTACTAACCAAAAGGTCAGTGGTTGGAATCCACCAGCCACTCCATGAAAACCCTACATACGGGGCAGTTCTACTCTGTCCTTATAGGGTCGCTATGAGTCAGAATCGACTTGCCAGCAATGGTTTGGTTTTTTTGGTAAGGATTACACCTCAACACAAAGAAAACAAAATCTTCATAACTGGACCAATAATTGGAGCCCTGGTGGTGCAGTGGTTAAGAGTTCAGCTGGTAACAAGAAGGTTGGCAGTTCGAATCTACCAGCTGCTCCTTGGAAACCTTATGGGGCAGTTCTACTCTGTCCTAGAAGGTCACTATGAGTCAGAATTGACTTGACGGCAATAGGTTTGGTTTGGTTTTGGTACTAAGAAGCAACATCTTGCCAAATGGAGAAAATATGGAAGTTGTCAAGGATTTCTTTTTACTTGGATCCACAATCAACGCCCATCAGAGCAGCAGTCAAGACATCAAACTACAGGTTGGGCTGCTGGAGAAGATGACAGTCTCCACAAGAGTGGTGTAGTGGAGTTAGAGGATGTTCAATGTTAGATGCTGTTGAGGACATGGAAGACCACAGAGTCCATCCTTTCGTAGAGAGTCCAGGGGTTAAAGTTCCTCGTAATTCTTGCTTGTTGGAAGAATTTGAAGAAGGACAAAAAGGAGTAGACGATGGTATGGTTAGTCTTGAAGATGATGAAGATACGACACTTACAAGGTGGACGGGCATAATTATTGGGCCACAAGTGACAAATTATGAAAACAGAATATATAGCCTGAAAGTAGAATGTGGACCTAAATACCCAGAAACTCCTCCATCAGTTAGATTTCTGACAAAAATTAATATGAATGGAATAAACAATTCCAGCGGAATGGTGGATGCACGGAGCATACCAGTGTTAGCAAATTGGCAAAATTCATATAGCATTAAAGCTGTACTTCGAGAGCTAGGATGTCTAATGCTATCCAAAGAAAATGTGAAGCTTCCACAACCACCAGAAAGACAAACATACAACAATTAATTTTAGTGGATCTCAAACTTGTCTTAAATCAACAACCTTCTACTCACATTCATGTCTTGATTAAGTATCACAATGCAAAATACCCATACATTAAGTCAAAGAAATCCAGTTGGTAAACATAACCCAGACATTTGTAAAAATACACTTAATATGTGTACACTCATTATGTTTTCAGGTCACAGGAGGAAAAATGCAGCACTACTCTTTTCTCAGGGCACTGTCATTCAAGCATAAACCTGGAGTACTACTGGAAATAGAATTCAGGTTTACAAGATGAAAGCTTGCTGGAGAAGTGCCAGGATGCGGTGGAAGGCTGTATGTTTCTGAAAACCAGTCTCCAAGAGGAAACCTTCAAGGGCATGCTCTATCCATCTTGCTTAGTGAAGGAGCTGCAGTTTAAATTGTTTAAAGTAGCAGGTACAATGAATATTGTCGCAACTATGTTAATTTTTGAAGTGGCGTGGCTTCTGACTACTATTAGCATGAAAAATATTTTCAGGATTGTTCTGATACCTGTATTTATAATAAAAAAAAAGAGTGAAGGGAGTCAATAAAAAGCAAAAAGAAGAAATCAAACGATGCATTGCATTGGGCAAATCTGTTGCAAAAGACCTCTTTAAAGTGTTGAAAAGCAAAGATGTCACTATGAGGACAAAGCTGTGCCTGACCTAAGCCATGGTATTTTCAGTGGCCTCATATGCATGCTAAAGCTGGACAATGAATAAGGAAGACTGAAGAAGAATTGACGCCTTTGAATTATGGTGTTGGCAAAGAATGTTGAATATACCATGAGCTGCCAGAAGAACGAACAAGTCTGTCTTGGAAAAAGTACAGCCAGAATGCTCCTTAGAAGTGAGGATGGCGAGACTTTGTCTCATGTACTTTGGACATGTTACAAGGAGGGACCAGTCCCTGGAGAACAACATCGTGTTTGGTAAAGTAGAGGGTCAGTGAAAGAGAGGAAGACTCTCAACGAGATGGATTGATACAGTGGCTGCAACAATGAGCTCAAACATAGCAATGATTGTGAGGATGCACAGGACCGGGCGGTGTTTCGTTCTGTTGTACATAGGGTCGCTATGAGTTGGAACCGACCCAACGGCACCTAAAAACAACAAGAAATATTATGGTTTATATTTTCTTCAAAATCCCAGAGTTGATACATGAATTTATCCTAATAATAATAATAAGTACAGAGAGGAAGTAGGATGCCTAGGAGTCAGGGGCGTGTGTCCAGGGTCTAGTTCTGCTACCAACCACTTCAGGTATCATTTCCTTAACATAAAATGAAAAGGTTAGAATTGATCATTCTAAGGATCCTTCAAGCACTAAGAGGCCATGATTTTAAAATAATTTTTCCAAGTCTCAGCTCTTTCAGGTGAAATATAAATGAGTACAATGAGAGTGAGTTCTGATGTCTCACATGTTTTCCTCTTCCAAGGCAATGCAAAGATTTCTGAAGGATTTTTCAAGGTGCTGTTGCACAGCCCATCACTAAAAGGAGAAGCTGCCTATTAATCTCATGCTGTAAGACTAAAGGAATCCCAGGATGGTGTAAAGGGTTAAAGCGCTCACTGCTAACCAAAAGATTTGAGGTTCAAGTCCACCTAGAGGTGCCTTGGAAGAAAGGACTAGCCATCTACTTCTGAAAAATCAGCCATTGAAAAAGAAAACTTTATAGAACACACTTCTACTCTGACACACGTGGGGTCGCCATGAGTCAGAATTGACTCCACAGCAACTGGTAGTAAGAATAAAGGCCCCTTTAAAGGCAAAGAAGGGAACAGAATCTGAGAGGAATGAGTTCCGCAGAGTTCAGAGCTATGCAGATTTGCTTCTGCGACAAACTGTAAAAATGGTGTGGTGGGGGCATCTGACCTCCTCTAACTTCACGAGAAGGAGAGAGAATCACCATCAGCATCAGCCCAAAGCTGCTTCCAGTGAAGCAGACGTCAAACATACCTCCTCTCGCCAACCTTTTTACCAATTCTGACACCAGCCGTTCCTCCCATGGCACACTCTACTTCTCTGATGAGTTCAATAATTCCTTGCAATAACTACACAGAACTCACAAACAATACTCACGATTATGGGGTTTATTAGGGAAGTAACAGGTTACAATTCAGGATCAGGAATGACTCAGCGTATAATCCTTCGGTCAGGACAGCTTCTTGGCCATGCCTACAGGCAGATCCCTCCCTGACCCTTGGCCTCTCAGCCCCACTGCCCTGCTTGGACAAGTGTTACAAAGCTCTTTAGGTGCCCAACTCCACCAGCAAGGCTCTTGCCATAAAGCACTCAGCTTTCTCGTTCTATAGCCTGAGAAGCCCAGTGCACCATCTCCTGGTTCTGCTGCTGCTGGTTCTCTGTCATGCTTGCCACAGCTTCTTACCATCTTGTGCCGTCTCTGGTGTTACAGCTGTCTGTCTCCTGGGTCTAAGACGTTCTCAGTGCAGGGGCCCTGGGTCCAAAGGATGCCCTCTGCTCCCAGCTCTTCTTCTTGGCGGTAGTGAGGTCCCCCCTTTGCACCTCTGGGATGGCCCATTTCAAGCCTAGTGGGATGGCAAAACTGTCCAATACCCTCATTAGGGTTTCATACATCTTGCTTGCATGGTCTCACCCCCACAAGGTGCCATTCACCTTATTTGCATTATTAGCAAGCTGTCCAATCCCCTTGGTGGGCCACAGGCGTCTTATTTGTATAGTTCCACCCAATCATTTGGTGGGATTTACAAGACCATGGCGAAGAAGGCCATGTAAAAGTGATCCATTTCACCACACAAACCATTCACATGCCTCAAAGGTTCTCATTTTAGTTTTTCCTTTAGTTTATGACTTTTTCTGAACTTTCTATTCTGAGTTTGAATTACACATAAATGTGAGATAATCTGTGGGCTCAAGTAACGTAAGATTTTGTATAGAAAGTCAAGATGTACAGGGACACTTGTGGCATTTGTGTGAATACTTATGACACCTAGTGGCCAAAAATTGGAAATAGAATATTCAAGGATGAAGAAGTAGGAAGAGGTTCAAGGAGAAAAGACTGTAGATAAAGGAGGAACTGCTTTTTAGCAAAAAATGTATCCATAAAGGTGTTTCGTTCTGGGATTCCTTACTGAAGAAGAAATAATTTGAAAAAAATATGTACAAGGAGTGAAATAATTCTTAAAAAGAGAAAAACTCTAAAAGATCTGGACATATGCCATCTACAGAGAATGAGAAAGAGCTTTGTCCATGAATATTCTTCCCACCCAGCAGTAAGAAAAATAATCATTAGAGAAATCCTCTGATCTACCACAGCTCACTTCCAGCATGCATAGATCCACAATGGTCACTAAAATGAGTCACCTGAGAGGGCCAGCTGTGTCAACATTTCTTTAGTCCCCGTGTACCAACACAGTTTTAGAGAACGTTTTAGAGAATGTTTTAGAGCATGCTTTCTGCAAGGGTGCTAGTACAACTAAGAAAGCACTGAAACTCTATGTGGGGTTTAATTTTAAAAGTAAACTCTCAATTATTCATGATAAATCTAGTTTGCAAAATGTCCATTTCAGAAGAGATGTAGATCTAGAGTTCCTTTTAAATAAAAATCATTGATTGCCTCTTCCCTTAAAAATGATGAGAATCAAAAAGCTAGATCTGCCTTGAGCATTATGCTCTTTTTAGAATTATCTGTACGGGGTCAAACTGACAACGGCAACTTGAAAGATTAGGTAGGAATCTTAGAGGGCAGTGAGGTTATGTTAGTGAGGAGGAACAACTCAGAAAAGGAGGGTGAGAATGATTGCACAACTCGAAGAATGTAACGAATGTCACTAAATTGTCCATGTAGAAACTGTTGAATTGATACATGTTTTGCTACGTATATTCTCAACAGCAACAAAATAGTAAAATTTATGGCAAAAAAGAGAAAAAATCTGTTAAGATAAAGAGAAAAAATGCATATAGTTCAAATGGAATTGAAAGAGTAATTAACTTGCGGTGGACTGAGGGGGGCAGATGAGCACTATTGTGGTTCCAAGTGAACATTCCTTTTGATTCCTCCCACAACTATTCGACATCTTCGGTCCATCCTAGGAACTCTATCACAGAATATCTATCAGCTTTATCATCCACTTCCTTGCATGTACCGAATATTCCATTTTTTAAAGCAAAGCGTAACCTGCTGCTTAGACCTGTCCAATCTGAGGTATAGACCAGAACATCTGTTGTTCTTATCCACACTTCTCTTACAAGCAGACCCCTAAAATTTCTGACATATATGCCTTGCCTAAGAAGGTTGATCCCATTAATATATTCCCCTAGTAATTAACTTGTATATTTCTATTAGGTTGAAATTACTGAAGAGTTATTTATTAATCTGAATTACCTGTATTACTGTTCCTCTTCATTATTGTAGATAGCCAAGAACTGGGAGACTGTGTAATCCTTTTCAGACACTTAAAATCATCTGAGAATTGAACTAGTCACTAAGAGTACATATATAACATATATTTCTATAACTTTGGGGCTGAAACAGTTTAAATTAGGTTAGTTGCTGTGCCAAAAAAAAAAAAAGGAAAGAAAGAAATCAAGTCCTCAGATTCCAAATGCTTCGTAAAGAAGCTTTCAGGAACTGAGAGCCAAGAGAAGCCAAAATACTCTTTATGCATTAGTTCCCCTTGAGATCTTCATGTTCTGAAAGGCGAGAGAAGGGGACCTAGCAAAGGCTGCACCATTAGCCATTTATGTCTCCTTGGAAACCCTATGGAGCAGTTCTACTTTGTCCCATAGGGTTGCTATGAGTCGGAATTGACTTTATGGCAATGGGTTGGGTTGGGTTTGGGTTTGGGGCAAGCCCCATAAACTTTGCAGGTCTTCCTTTGTTCATCTCACAAAATAAAGATATTGTACTAGATAATATCTAAGGTCCATTCAGGCTTCAGAATTTTATTTTTTCAATAGTTTATTGTGTTTACTTTTTCTTGTTTTATTTTCTCGCTGATTACGCTCAAGTTCCC